CTGCCTTTCCTGCAGCTCAACCATATGCTGGAGCATATCAGTTTGATGCTCCAGCAGCCGGAGCATCAACTCTTGCCTTCTGTCTGCAAGCTGATGCCACCTATCATCTTCAGCCCGCCACTTGCTCTTTTCATCCCGCGATTCAGCCCACCACCTCTCCTCTCATTCATATTGTGCTTTTCTGTAGTCTGACATTGACTGCCTCCACGCATTCTGCTGTGCTCTTTCAGCGTGGGAGGACATCTGGAGCTCCGTGAACGTATCATCCCGAGTCCGCCGTTTTCTTCTTCCAATCTTTGCTAGCCTCTGCGAAGGAGAAACATTTGCAGCTGGTGGAGGACAAGGGAGAGGTGGTTAAAAAAGACACATTTTAGAGAACAATGGGTACACTCTTTCACGTTAAATTTTGCTGTTCCCATTACACAGCACATGTGCTTTCGTTACAAGGTCGCATTTTTCCTCTTATATTGAGGGCCTGCCGGTTTGGTGTGTGAGATCACTCACGCGGTGCCAGGCAACAGAATTCGGCTTGCAGGCAGCCATGGTAAGCCACAGTCTTTTGGCTTTTTTAACCCTCATAACGTGGGAATGGTTTCAAACAATAGCGCCCTCATTTCCCATACCAAGGGCCCATTGGGTTGGCCATTTAAAATGGGTTTGCAGTGTAAAAGGAGGGGCTGGGGTTTCCGGGTTAACATGCAGCACAAACCCAACTACCCCCACATACACACACACCCAATTCTCTGGGATGATCCCTTCACCCCTCCCCTCGCCCCACCGCGTGGCTAACAGAGGGGAACGTTTCTGTTCAGCTGAGCAGGAACGGGCACCTCTGAATGCCCCCTTAATAAAATCACCCCATTTCAACCAGGTGACCGTGAATGATATCACTGTCCTGAGGATAACAAAGAGAGATAAGGAATGGATGTTGTCTGCATGCCAGCAAACACTGGGACCATACGCTGCCATGCTTTGTTATGCAATGATTCCAGACTACGTGCTACTGGTCTGGCGTGGTAAAGTGTCCTACCATGGCGGACCGGATAAGGCAGCCCTCCCCAGAAACCTTTTGCAAAGGCTTTGGGAGTACATGAAGGAGAGCTTTCTGGAGATGTCCCTGGAGGATTTCCGCTCCATCCCCATACATGTTAACAGACTTTTCCAGTAGTTGTACTGGCCGCGATTGCCAGGGCAAATTAATCATTAAACACACTTGCTTTTAAACCATGTGTAATATTTACAAAGGTACACTCACCAGAGGTCCCTTGTGTGCCCTCAGGGTCTGGGAGCACGCCTTTGGTGGGTTGGGGGGTTACTGGTTCCAGGTCCAGGGTGATAAACATATCCTGGCTGTTGGGGAAACCGGTTTCTCCGCTTCCTTGCTGTGAGCTATCTTCATTGTCTTCTTCATCATCATCATCATTATCATTATCTTCCGTGTACCCCGAACCTGCTTCCCTGTTGCATGTTTCTCCATTGATGGAGTCAAAGCACATGGTTGGGGTAGTGGTGGCTGCACCCCCTAGAATGGCATGCAGCTCCGCGTAGAAGTGGCATGTTTGCGGCTCTGCCCCAGACCTTCCGTTTGCCTCTCTGGCTTTGTGGTAGGCTTGCCTTAGCTCCTTAATTTTCACGCAGCACTGCTGTGCGTCCCTGTTATGGCCTCTGTCCTTCATGGCCTTTGAGACCTTTTCTAATATTTTGCCATTTTGTTTACTGCTACGGAGTTCAGCTAGCACTGATTCATCTCCCCATATGGCGAGCAGATCCTGTACCTCCCATTCTGTCCATGCTGGAGCTCTTTTGCGATCCTGGGACTCCATCATGGTTACCCGTGCCAATGAGCTCCGCGTGATCACCTGTGCTCTCCCCGCTGGGCAAACAGGAAATGAAATTCAAAAGTTCGCGGGGCTTTTCCTGTCTACCTGGTCAGTGCATCTGAGTTGAGAGTGCTGTCCAGAGTGGTCACAATGAAGCACTGTGGGATAGCTCCCGGAGGCCAATAACGTCAAAATGCATCCACACTACCCCAAATCCGACCCGCAAAGGCCAATTTTAGCGCTAATCCCCTCGTCAGAGGTGGAGTAAAGAAACCAGTTTAAAGGGCCCTTTAAGTCGAAAGAAAGGGCTTCGTCGTGTGGACGTGTCCAGGCTTAATTCAGTTTAACCCTGCTAAAGTCAACCTAAACTCGTAGTGTAGACCAGGGCTCAGATTCTAAACCTGATTCTGCCACTGGCTTGCAGTGTGACCTCTGTGTTTCTTTCCCCATCTATAAAATGGTGACTCAGGCCATGTCTGTGCTACAGCGGCACGGTGACATCACCATAACTATGTCACTATAGCACCGTACTGTAGACCTTTCCTACAGCAACAGAAGGATTTTTTTTTTTCTGTTGCTGTAGGTAATCTACCTCTCCGGCACCTACACTGCGGGTTAGGTCGGCTTAGCTGCATGCTCAGGGGTGTGAACTTCTCACGTCCCTGAGTGCTGTAACTATGTTGACCCAACTTTTAAGTGTAGACTAGAGCTAATTATATTTCTCTCTCAGTATATGCTTAACTACTGTTTGTTTATAAAGTAGCCTGAAATCCTCTGAGGAAAACTGGTAGAGAAGCACAAGTCTTTTTTTTCCCTCTGGGTATTTTTGCAAAGCATATTGCTTGTTCTAAGGAATAAAAGTTGTGCACCACTTTCCAGTTCTTGTGACATGGTAGGCTTTGCACTGATTCATTTTTTTTCTCCTTGTAGACAGAGAATTCTGTTCCATCCAGATAACACTTCCACAAAGTTGCACCCTTCTGATTCCAGTCCTTGCATTGACTTCTCGTGTCCTTGTTGTTTCACTAGGGTTGAATACTGAAGGAATCTATCGTGTGAGTGGAAACAAGTCTGAAATGGAGAGTCTGCAGAGACAGTTTGATCAAGGTAATGTCTGTTCCTATTGGGCAAAGGGGTTAGGATGTGGCAGTAGCATAGGAAATAGTTTTTTAAATTTACTTAGGATCGTCTAGTCTAGTCTAGATCAAAGTGATTTGTTTTTGTGCAATCTGTTTTGATTCCAGGTGCGGGCCTCTGTAATCACCTTTTAAACTATTACTGGTATTCAGACTGAAAGCTGAGAAGTCTGAATGTGACCATGAGATTAGTTGTGGGCACAGCTTTCTTTAATATTTGTTCATTGACTGATTGAGAATTTGCTCTAATTTCTCAAACCTGACCAATCAGATTGTGCTAATGAGCCAAATTATCAGCCAGTACTGCTGTAACGGTGGTTGTGCTGTGTTGGTACTCTGTTCTTCGCAAAATATTTAGGCTATGTCTGCTCTGTTGAAATAATCAGGATCCTATGTGTGCTGCGCTTCCCCAGCTGTAGAACTTGCAACACAATCCACCCCTTAAAGCAGACTTGTGCTCTAGAATAAAAGGGATGATGGTACTCTAGAATACAAGGGCTAGAAATGGTGTCCGTAGCCCCTGTTTGCCAGAAGCTGGGGATGGGTGACAGGGGATGGATCACTTGATGATCACCTGTTCTGTTCATTCCCTCTGAAGCACCTGGCATTGGCCACTATCAGAAGACCTTTGTTCTGACCCAGTATGGCCATTCTTATATTTTATTTCATTTTTTAAAAAGATGTTTCTAGAGCTTGTGGATGTGAAAATAACTTTAAAAATGTGAAACAAGTGTGAATCAATGCAAGGTTTTATTTTCTGGCTTTGTAAACTGGCCTTGTCTAGTCTGCAGGTAAAAGGTGTATTTTAAATTGTCTGCTAACATGATTTGAAATACCATTTTGTACCCAGTGTAGAAATAGTTTTAATGCTGTTAACACCCTAGAGTTAATTAGGTACCAGCTGACATGGTTTTAAAGGTATTAAACTATATCTAGGCTATGTGGTAAGTGATCTCAAACTCTAATAATTAATTTAGTTTTAAAAACACTTTTTCATAGAGTACAATCTGGAACTGGAATAACCAATCTGTTTTAATTCACACCCTCATTCATTTTGACTTGAGTCTGTGGCTGCACACTTCTTTTAGATTTATCAAAATAGAACATTCTTAATCTGAAATAAATGTGTCCACATGCAGATTTGCACCAAAATAGATGAGGGTGTGAGTTAAGAGACTGATATTTTGGTTCCAGGTTGTGTAAACAAACCTATAATCTAGACAAGACCTCAGAGGTGTGAGCTGCTCCATTATCTTAATGGGGTTAAGTCTGAAACACAAAACAAAATAATTTTAAACTACAGTTTCTCTGCTTGAGGCTGATAATTTTAGTAGAAACATCCAGCTGTTGTGTTTAGTCCACAATCCCAAACTGCGTCCCATGTCTTCCCAGATGCCAGAAGCCCCACCTGTTGTTTACCCAACTCCCATCGGTCCCAGACACCTATTGCAATCCAGTTTTGTATTGTCAATGCACAAATTTTCAGCACATTCAAAACTTAAACTGTTGATACAACATAAAATAAATTTATAATCAAAACAAATACCATGGTGACTAGCATACTGATTGTTTGTGTTCATATTTAACTAAATGTCCATGTTTAAATTTAGATGGGGGTGCCAGAGTACCACACAGACATTAGGTCCTTGAAAATAACCATATTTAATCACGGTCTTGTGCACTTTGGACCGTGTAAAGTAACCTGTTATAAGGCTTCTAGATTCCTAGGCTAAAGCATGTGTCCTTAAAGGATTCACACAACTTAAGAACTGGACAGGTTAGAAAATGAGTTAAATTAGTTTAAGGTACCCTGAGCCTCTTGCCAATTTTTGTTCTGTTACAGATAAGCTCCCCCCTCCCCTTTTCTTCTCTCTCTCTCTCTCTCTCTTCTGTTGCTATGTGGAAAATCCACTGATAGTGGGAAACTAACTGCAGAGGAAACAGTGAAACTGAATAGAAGCAATGTGCTGTCAAATGCGCAAAGTAAGCAAAGCGAAAACACAATGAGAAATATCTTTTCTCTAATCTTTCAATGACAATAATCATAGGTATTACTTGGAACAATTGTAGGGGAAAGGTTGTCAGTAATATGAGTTTTAAGTTAGCTATGTCCCTTCAAACAGAGCAAGTCTTTTCTGATGACACAAGTGAGGTGAAAACGTGTTATAACATGTTTGGGTGACAACCAAATTTAACTGCAGCTATTTTTGTAGCATAGGCAGAACTGATATTCGTGACCTTGCAATTCCTGCCTTGGTTTTTAAATTCCTGGCATCACAATATGTACCATAACGCTTGCAAATAGGATTTTCCGGCTCTGGGACATCAAAAGCTTGTTCGTTTGGCAGTTTTTGTGTGTCTTTGTTGCTCCTGGCCTCTGTAGACCATCTTATCTGACACTTTCCCTTTGCCCTTATCTAAGTCTCTCCCTTTCCTTCCACACTTTTCTGTGAGTGGTTCAGTTGTTTGTAATTAATGTATTCACATGAGGTTTTGCCACTTTGTGTAGGAGTTCTTGTTTGACATGTTCCTTCAATAAAGTGTTTAAGAGATTTATTTAGTGCAGATAAATGAAACTACTAATTCCCGTGTACCAGTGTTTAAACTTCCAGTGTTTTCCAGTGTTGCATCCGAAGAAGTGAGGTTTTAACTCACGAAAGCTTATGCCCAAATAAATCTGTTAGTCTTTAAGGTGCCACCAGACTCCTTGTTGTTTTGTAGATACAGACTAACACGGCTACCCCCTGATACTTGGCTTCCAGTGTTTTTGTAACTCCTAATGTTTTGTTCTTCCAGGGCCCTCGCTGACCACTGGGATTTTGATTATTTCCTGGTCTGAAAAAGCAAATTTAGGACATCAAACATGATAAAGTGACTTAAAACTGAATAAATGTAGCTCTAGTCATATGAAAAGTTTAGGGATTCAAACTAGCTTTACTATGATGTCTACTATAGGGTGACATGATAGAGCAAAACTCTTATTAGAGCATAAGCTTTCGTGCTCTAATAAATTTGTTAGTCTCTAAGGTGCCACAAGTCCTCCTGTTCTTCTTTTTGCGGATACAGACTAACACGGCTGCTACTCTGAAACAAAACTCTTATAATATCACTTTACATGATTTTTAACATTGTAAAGGTGCCTACAGACATTAACTGCAATGATGCCACATTTGAGTTTCTTCATCAGTAGCTGCTTTGGGGGAGGGATCTGTAAGAAGATAGATAAATTAGCAGAAAAGTATTTACAAACTGCAGGTGGCTTTGAAAAATAGGACAAGGCAGGAATATTCGTAATCTCATTAGCCAGATCCAAAAGGTTCATGGCAGGCAGTATTATCTACTGGGTAGGGTAAGGATGGACGTCAGGACTCCTTTATCCCTTTTCTGGACCTGTCAAATTAACTGCCCCCTCAGAGCTTCTGTTTAGCTATCAGTCAAATGAGCGTCATCTTACAGGATTGGAGTTTCGCACAAGACCGGGGGATGGTTACTGTGTGTTCTGTGCAAGAACGAGTTTTTTAGCTGTTTGTCACATAGAGAAAGTGCTGAATGTAGAGGGCCTAAGTCTCATTTGTAGCCCGCCAAGTGATTTCTATCTCTTCCCTGTCAGGATCTCACGCGTGTCACTTGCTTCACTGCAGCAGCTGCATGTCTTGTGTTTGGTGAGTTTTAACTGTTAAATGCTTTCATTGTAGATCACAATCTAGACCTGGCGGAGAAGGACTTTACAGTGAATACTGTGGCTGGTGCCATGAAGAGCTTCTTCTCAGAACTGCCCGATCCCCTGGTACCGTACAATATGCAGATTGAACTGGTGGAGGCCCACAGTGAGTATGCACAAGGCAATGGGTGACACCATTGTTTCAGAGCATAAAGAATCCAAATTCTTCTGTCCATCTGGCATTATAGGAAACTGCTTTCTCCTGTCTGAAATACATCAACATAGTGGCAGAGCACATTGTGCTGGTAGCGTGTTGGCTTTAATTGCAAATTTCCTAGCTTTAATTGACTTAGTCCGTATTGTGTGTTGTCATCATGACAACAGTAATAACTGTCTCCGCTTGTAGAGCTTAGAGCAAGAACTGAGCTGAGACATTTGTGGTGCTTTCCTAATCATACCGTTCTATCCTCTGCCTCTAACATCACGTTCTTTAGGACGTGGATTGCGAGACACAAATGCAGGACTTGGGTGCATCTGGAAATTTGCTTGTTCCAATATATTGCACTGGGATGCAATGGGTACTGAATCAGCGTTGTTTGGGCAGGTATAAATCCAAAATTGCAGCCAGTTTCCTTGCACCTCAGTGGGGTGAATCCTTAGTCTCGGTTTGGAGCTTAGCCCCTGCACAAGTTTTTCCTTCCCTTTTTTATTTCTTTTTCTAGCTGCTCGGCGGGGGCATTGACCCACTGCTTTCATATGCTGTGACGAACTGGGACTGTTCTTACTGTGGTCTTTGAATGCTGACAGGGGAGTGTGGCTAGGATAGTCTGCATTGAGGGATGGGAGACTGGCCGAGGGAGAATACCTGAGCATGTAACATGAGGACCCAGGAAGGGGTTAGAGGCCAGGTGACACCTTTGCCCGGGAAACTGAACAAAGGGTTGGGGGAGAGTTTCAGAGCTGGCTGGTGGAATGGCTGGGAGGCAGACGGGGCTCTGACCTCCCAAGGGGGCTGGGGTGCCCGGGGACCCCAAGATGGACCTAACTGAGGGGGTCCTGTTGTCTGTGCCTGCAAGACCTGTCTTGGGCTGTATTCCTGTCGTCTAAATAAACCTGCTATTGTACTGGCTGGCTGAGAGTCATAGTGAATCGCAGGAAGCCGGGGGTGCAGGGCCTTGTGTCCCCCCACTCTCCGTGACACATGCCAAAAAGGCAGCTGCTACCTTTTAGGGCTGAGCAAGACTTTCAGTCTAGCTGCTCGGTCAGTACATGATCTCTATCAGCAGGCAAGCCCTGATCTATCCAAAGTAGTCTTCTCACAGCAGAACCTAGGCTGCCACAATGAATACATTATAGTGGGTGGTATCTCCTTATGTGCCCGGCCTGCAACCCAACCCAGTGACTCTCTATCTAGCTGCCCTGTATGAGCTGGGTCCGACGATACACACTCCTAAAGGATGGTTCTTGACAGTCAGTTGGGTCTCGAGCGCATGCTGCTGTTTGCCACAAATAGAGGGAGACAGTGTAATACACAGCACTGCCTGTTAATGTCTCAGTGTTCCATAGATCGCTTTTCTTCCGGGATCAGCTGGCGTTTATAAATGCTTTCCATGCTGAACTTGGGTTTCCAGACACTAGTTGACAGTCCAGTGGGCTGAAAGTTTCCGAGAATGGGTTAATGTCAGGGAAGAGAACTCCATCACCAGTGGTTTGAGGCCATCTAATGCCAGCAGTAGACATCATGCTGAGGAAAGGATTAAAGACCCAGTGAGTCTGTGTACGTACACACACACGTACACACACACCTTCCTTCAGTACATTTCTTTTCCCCTCCCCTATCCTTAAGAGAAAGCTGTGAAGGGCTGTTAACATGACCAGTGCCCTTAGAGAAAGAGCTTTTGGAATAATGCATATTACTTAGGTTAGGAAAGCCATAGATTCAGCTGGAAAAATGGATCTCTCCTGGCAGTTATGTTTAGGGGCTCACAGCCTGCTGGAAGCAAATAGGTTTCTTGGTGATAGCCTTGCCATGGTGCCATCTAGAGGTGGAAAAGATAAAGGCATGCTAAAAATTCCATTGTGTGAGAAAATTGCTGACATAGCATCTTTTGTTTGTTTTTTTTTTTTTTGACTTAAGAAATCTTGGCAAGAAAAATCAAGTGATTCTAGTGCAACAGCCTTTCTAAAACACGCATTTCATCCCAGTTGATTCTGCTGTGAAGACAGTACATTAAAACAGTGAGAACCTGGTGTGGATTTAATTTCCCTTTTCATGAAGTGTCCTCTTTGTTGCTACTGCCCTTTCGCGGATATTCACAGCATCTTTAAGTGTGGTAGAGGCACAGCCCTGCGCATTTTAACTTGTGGCACATCTACCCAGGGGCTAAGCAGAGCAATGAAATGAGGTATGCAAGACAAACGTACACATGCAAGCAGGAATTTAGATATACCATTCAATGGCGGGGAAAATGCAAATAAAATATTAAGGCTGAGAATTTAAATGAATGACATAGATTCTCGTTAACTCAGTTCCCTTCAGCATATTTCATATTTATTTTAATTACAATCTCCATATCCAGGCACCTGACAGTATGAATGGATTATCCTGATAGTTCCCGTGAAGGGTAGAGGACTTTTGTTACCTGGTACTGCTGAATCACTTTTAACAGCAGTGGGATACTTTTGTTCCAAAACCTCAGTACACAGACAGCCACCTTTGGAATGGTAAACACATAACCAGAACAATGTTTGACATGCCTCTTTGGCTTCAAGGAAGGCACCAGGTACATCCAAAAGTTACCCTGGGCTTGATGGGGGAGTCCAGGGAACACCATTGTCAGTTGACAGTTCAGTGTAGTGGAAGATCATATTTTCCTTCCATTTAGTTCTTTCTGAAAGAGTACTTTTTTAGCGAAGGCCGATGGTTTGGAGAGACGTCTCCAAATCACCAAGAGCTTGTGTACATGCAGAGTAGCACTGGTTTTACAGGTGTGATGCTAAAGCAATTTAGTTAAACTGGTGCAAAAGGTGTGGACATGTTTATTTCAGTTTAAGCCTCTCTTCACCAACCTTTGCTCCCGAGGACCAGTTCTTTCCCTCTGCCAGCCTAATGCTCAGCTAATGCCCATTCTGGTTTCATTGGTTTTCAACCAACCTGCTTTCCAGTAGTGGTTCCCAGTCCCACAAAGGTTGGCTGGGTTGGAATCATATGCTAGAGATCAGGGACAGTTACAGGCAATGAGGAGCACAACTTGCTTCTGTCTAGAGTCCTGCCTGTCTCCTTGCTGCAGGGACTAGTACTAGTGCCCCTAACCCTTCCTTAAAGCCAGCCAGTTCCTAGGTAAGCTATCCATCTGGGAACTAACCAGGTTCAAAGAGTTAGGCCACATCATCTGGCTCGTTGTTAGGTGCCTCTGCTCTTCAGCACCAGAGCAGGATCTTCTGAAACAGGTGGACAAGACTGATGATTTGTAGCAGCAATGGGTTATTGCTCATATCTGAAACATCAGGTTGATTGTAGAGGATGAGGTTATACCTAGAGTGGGATAAATGTGGGTCATCTTCCTGTAAATCCTCTCTTCCCCTTGATTGGGTTGTATAATGGCGAGGGGTGTATAAGGGGAGGAAGACTCATAGATTCTAGGACTGGAAGGGATCTCGAGAGGTCATCGAGTCCAGTCCCCTGCCCTCATGGCAGGACCAAATAATGTCTAGACCATCTCTGGTAGATATTTATCTAACCTACTCTTAAATATCTCCAGAGATGGAGATTCCACAACCTCCCTAGGCAATTTATGCCATTGAATTTATTCTCCTTTATTCTGGAGAGCTACATGTACTTTATGGATGATAGAATATGGTGGAGGTACCAATATCCACCCTGTCCTTGAAGGAGAGAGCGAGCGCTGGAGACCTGTTGTTCAGGATGCTAGGAGCAGGATGGGGAAGTATACAGTACCAATGCTGCTGCATAATTTTCCCTCGCCACCTCAGAATGAGGGCCTTGAGCCAGTAGGGTACAAGGCCAGATTTTGATACCTTCAAAAGATGGAGATCATTGCCTGTGTTGTCAGCCTCCAGGCTTATTCCAACTTGCAGCACCCTCCCCTCCCTAGTGGCCTCTCTGGGCGTGTCTAAGTTAGACACACAGAGCAGCCTTCTGTATCAAACTATGGTCTGATGTGCAGGAGGAGACTTACTCAGATGTAACAAGGAATTCTCTTCTTACGTGTGCTGGATATCAAAAATACCAGCCTGGTGCTCCAGCTTTCATCCCTCTTCATCCAGTGTTGGGATGCCAGTCTTATCTGATTGTGCCCAGTGTTTGTCTTTGATAATGCTTTACTCGAAGGTACGTACACAGCTCTATTCGACTGCTTTTCTAGGCCATGTACTGGATGGAAAAGGAAGATACGAATGTGGTAATTATGTTCCCCAAAGGCAATACAGCAGTACACCAACGATGATGTGTTCTTTGTAGGGAAGACTTATTAATTGAGCTCTGAATCTGCTCCCTCACCGTTGCACCCTGGAGGTCATGCAACCAAGTAGGATGTAGCACTTCTCCGTATGCGGCGATTTGTGCGTTTAAAGGGTGAATCTATCCTACACCACCTGTGGCACAACAATTAAGTGCATGTGGCTTTAGGGTTAGCTGCTGATGGTAAACTTTTGGATTGAACAGTAGGATGACACTTGTCTGAACAGATTCCCTGAGGTGCTTGGCTTCTCTTTGGAGAAGACCCAGTGGGATTCACATCCATATGTTTGAGCAGGTTCTCTTTGCTGCTGGCGGCCTTTGAGTTGTATTTAATCAGCTCATCAAAGGTTCATAAGCATTTCACTTCCTCAGAAATTTCTGATTCTCATCGCTTTTTTCTTTTGACAGAAATTAATGACCGAGAGCAGAAGCTACATGCGCTCAAAGAGGTGCTGAAGAAATTTCCCAAGGAGAACTATGAGGTCTTCAAATATGTCATCTTTCATTTGAACAAGTATGTACAAGATCTCTTACTTCTGCATGACCATGGATGGCGGTTGGATACATAGACTGTCCCCTTTATTCCATGAGCAGCTTCTTAACATAAGCTGTGTACAAAGCATTGGAACAATATTAAGCTAATGTTGACTTATTTAGCAGCTGTAATAGAGTAGGGAAGCAGCCTGGAGTGAATTTGTTCCTTGGCAGTTGTCCCAATTAAGCGGGCATGTCATTTATCAGGGGGACTAATTAAGTTCCATAAACATTGCTACATCAGAACTAGCAGAATTCTATGGGGAAAACCTACATTAGACCCACATCTCTCCAACTCCATTAGTTTCTGCTTAGGATGTCACTTGCTTCTGGAGGTATAAGATCACTTCTGGTGCTGCAGAGTTTAGAAGTCAGCAGGGAGCCTGCATTCATCGTTCTGCACGGCCCATGGGAGGGAAGCGGGAGAGCTCTCCCAGAAGGCACATGATGATAGCTTGGGTGTGGTTTTGAGCATGGTTTCCTAGTCCACCGGAATTTGGATAATGCTGTCAAGGGGACGAGTTGGATGCCAACTGATTACTCCCTGTACCCGTCACGTCCTAGATATGTGAGCGTTCTTCCTGTTGTGAACAGACTGTGCTCACGGCCTCTCTCTCTTGTCTGTTGCAGGGTCAGTCACAACAACAGAGTGAATCTGATGACGAGCGAGAACCTCTCCATCTGCTTCTGGCCCACCTTGATGAGACCTGACTTCAGCACTATGGACGCTCTCACTGCAACTCGCACCTATCAGACAATCATTGAACTCTTCATCCAGCAGTGCCCCTTCTTTTTCTACAATCGACCAATTATCGAGCCCCCCAGTGCTACACCCAGTTCTCCGTCAGCGGTTCCTGCCAGCACACCTGTCTTATCCAGCACACCTGTGATGACTCAGCCGTCCCCACCACAGACTCCTCCTCCATCACCACAGTCTCCTCTCCAGCCTCTTCTCCCACCCCAGCTTCAAGCGGAGCAGCACACACTGTGAACTGGTGTGGGAGAAAGGAGGTTTGGTCTTTTCTCACACAGCGTGGAGATTGGAAAGAAAACCCAGGGTTCTGCTGTCCCCCCCTCTCTACCATCCTGTTGCAAGCTACAGCTGTGTTGGCAGTCTGAGAAAGCAGGAACAAGTTGGGCCATTGGGTGCACATTTTGAGCGTTCCAGACTGGTGCCTGGGACTGGGTTGAAGAGGACATTGGACCTTTCTCTTGTTTGTGGGGGTTGTGGGGGGGGGCACTTTTGAGTACTGAATCTGTTCAAGTGTGATTGGTTCTGATCCAAGCCAACCTACGTTCATGACAACACTACCGAGTTCAGTCTAGGGCTCTGAGATCTATTGCTTCTGTCCACTTGGCTGCTTGTACAGAACATGTCCTTTGACTGACTCTTCGCAACACCCTCAGCCTGTGCATGGGAAAGATCCTGCCAGAGCGCAGAGCCGCAGAAACACCCAAACACGTTCCACAGGATATGGTTGAGGCTCATCAAACACTAAAAAAAAAAAAAAAGAAAGACACTAATCATGGGGACCAGAACTCAGAGCAATCTCACTGCTAGCAGATCAGCGTAGCTACTCCGAAAGCTGCATTGCCACAGGTCTGGACCCGGTATCTCTCTAACAAGTACAGCTTTGTGTGTGGACAAAGCTAGAATGTAACTTTCTCTGACTTAACTGATGACCAGGGTGGGAAGTGAGAGGAATCTCCCTTCAGAGCAAAGGAACACTGGAAAACTAACATGTTCCCACCATCCACTGGTTTTAATCAAGAGATGAGAGACGTGGACAGACCATGGCCCCTTTTCCTTGGAAGCAGAACTACTGTGCAGCAGGTTCCTTAGGAGAGTTCAGGCTTGTTGGGCTGCCCTTGATTTGGCTTAGCCTTGCCTTTTCTTTGACAAATCACTACATCTCTCTCACCCTGGTAGAATTTGGCATTAGCACTTACAGGATGAGAGGTTTGGAAACACAGTAGATGTTTACTATCAGACAAGCTGGATTTTGATTCCTTTAAAACGCTATTGTTACTGAAACACTTTTGTTAAACTGCGTCTGGGGAGGGTGGTGGGCAGGTGGTGGGACTAGAACACTTTTTTCTTTTGTCGGTGGAAAGGTTTTTCAGTCCAGCACTTATTGTGCAATGAGGTTGTGAGGGAAGCGTGTGTCTGCAGTGTGTCACAGGGCTCTGAAGGCACAGACAGTATTGCAGCTAACTTGTCCATGGCAGGGACTGCGGTAGTAAGGGTAGTAGCCCTCAGTTGGGTGGCTGCTGAAGCCTCTGTAAACCTTGAGGACATTCTGGCTTTGTGGGTAAGACTTGGTGCAAGTATCCCCGCTAGACGGGGAGGGTGGAGTACGTTACTGGTGTCCCCTCAAGGCTCTGATTTTGTTTGCTTAAAAAAAATTGTAGCCAACCTGATGGAAGAGGGACCCATCATGGAAGAGGGACCCACCTTCCAGGCCCTCTTTGTATCTCCAGCTGGTAGAAGTTAGGTGACACACTTTGGCTTTTTGACAAAGGGTGGTGGCTGTTCACTGCATTCTCACCTGCTGCTGGTTGATACCACAAAATTAGCAAGAAAGGTAGGGAGTGAATGTTGAAGGGGAGTGGATGGAAAAAAAGCTGTACATGAGTAAAAAGGATGGTAGGTTCTCAAGGCTCCATCTTGGACCGGCCTTCAGGATCCATACTTGGATCCCTGGTATGGTGCCACCACAGAAGAGCGTGTGCAAGTTTAAGTAGTGCTACATGACATGCAAAGTGCTAATTTGGCACCTGAACTGCTGTACCTGCTGTCTTCTCACTCACCTCCGTGTGTGTGTGTGTGGTCCAGTCCTGCCATCCTGGCCCTGGCCCCTCTAGACTGTCTTGCGCGCATGTCACCTTCCTCCTCCCTCTCTCCCCACACGTAAGCTGCTGTGTGTGCGAATCATATCTTAAACCTGTGTTGTCTCCCCATCTCCTCTCTGTGTGTGGCCTCCCTATCCTCAGTCATATAGGGCAGTTTTTAACTGGAGTTTCTATGGTACCAATGGGAGAAATCCCTACAAAGACCCTCCTGTGTCTCCTCGCACTTTAATATGGGATCTGTGATTTATCACTATTTTTTATCTTTCAAGGATGTTTGAGTCCCTATATCTAGGCAGTTTAAAAAAAATTAAAAACAAAAATAGCCTCAAAGCACGCCCTGCCCTCCTTACGCCCTTCGGCACGCAGAGCCAGCTCTCCATGAACTGAATCCCTCCTATAAATAAGCTGGGTTATTTATGTACTGACAAAACTGCATTTAAAGTTATACCTATGACAGAATAATGTGCTTGAAAGTACTTCTTATAGCATTCCTCCGAGTTTTATATTCTCATGCTTTAAAACAAAAGCTTTTATGTAAATATTGGATGCTGTTTTTTTAGAACTTAAACCTCCTCCCTCCCCACAAAAGCCCTTAGGTTGTGCATGTGTGATGCTAACGTTCTGAGTGGAGAAGGAGAGTTGAAGCCCAAGGTTGATTCCTTTCAAACCTTTCACCATAAAATAAGGACCCATCTGTGCTCCATTGGACTTTCTTGCTTCTCTGTAGGCAGTGAGGATGGGAAAGGGTTTTTTTGGTGTTCTTCCTTTGGATTCTTTGGGGTCATTTTGCTTTGTGTAAAAAGGTTTGTTTCCGTGCCTTTCTTATAGGTCTGATGCTAAACTTCTCTCTAGACAGCTCTTTGGTACCTCTTTCCAAAACCTGCTCAGAACAGAGCCGTCCTGTCTGAGGATGTTGGGAGGACGGGACCTCTTCCTTCACACAAAAAAACAAAAATAAAATCCCATTCTCTGCAGAACAGTAGTGCATTCTTCCCCCGAGGCACTGATCAGTTCCTGTTGTTCTGCCTGAAAACTAAAGCAATCAATCTCCAGAACTCCCATCCTGGATTCCTCTACTGTGCAGAGGCTGGTTCTGCCCAGTTACCCATCTGTGGCCTTGAGATTTTGTCCTCAATTTGTGTATATTGCTGACTGAAGCAGCAAGGCATGGCGCATCGGGAGTGGGGTGTGTAGGAAGGGCGCAGCCATTGTAATTGTACTGATCTAGTCTGAGGTTCTAGATGCAGCAGGGGAGCCTGCTTTTGCCCATAGGATGGAAATAATGTACCTCATTTTAAAAAACAAACACTGCTGATTGATTTCCTACGGGATTTGCTCACTAATTCTGTTCTACCCTGGAGATGCCTGCTGTGAAGATAGACTAGCAGGCCCATCCTAAGGGAAAGAGGTGTATGTTACAGAACGTACTGTCTCCAATCAGGTGGCACATACCTGGTTGCAAAGCACCTGATTGGTTGCTCCTCATTGACAGGCGTTAACCGTCTGTCCCTCCCTGAGCAGTAACGTTCTGCCCATACCTCAAACACTAAGTTTTTCACATACCTTTCATGCCACCTGTGCTTTACAAATGGTCAAGACTTTTCTGTGTTCTGGGGAATGTGGTTTTTCTGTACAGTGGAGGTAACGGCTCTAGAGCAGACAAGAAGTGCATGTTTGGTTTCATCATGCATGTGGTACTCCTGGGGGAATTCTGCGCCAAAAAATTAAAAATTATGCTCACAATACTTTAAAATTCTGCAGATTTTATTTGTTGAAATAACAATATAATCACATCAGTTTCAATAATTTTAGTAATTTATTTCAAAATACCTATCAGCAGGTATGTCTCTAACAATACAGATAACAGAAAGATCGAGGAAATGTTTTTTGACAAATTGATTCCTTACTAGGCATATAAATACAGACCGTTGAGTAATCATTCATTTACACTACAATACAGAAACATATTTCCTGAACCCCTCAGAAGCAGTGCAAAGGCTTGCGGGAGTCCAGGGAAACAGAGGAGCTGAGGGAGAGGGAAGTAATTGCTGGGAAGAAGCCTGGATATGAACTCGGGGAATTGTTGGGTGTAGGTGGGAAAATTATGGAACGGGGTTTGTGTTTTTTTGTGCGGGGAGAGGGATTGTTGAGGAGCCTCCCACATGCAGACGCTGGTTGACCACTAGCCTCTCTCATTCAGTCAGGCACATCTGGCCCTGGCCTCATATGTTCCTGCACCCCCATTCAGCCACCTCTTCTCCCCCATGTGTCCCTGTACCCCTATCACCCCATCCCATCTCCGCGCCCCCTCCTCGTCTCCACGTGTCACTGCATTCCTCCTCCCATTCATCCTCTGCCCCAGTCCGTCTCGCCCACCAGCCCTTTTGAACCCCAGTCTGACCCCCCAGCAGCCCCATGTGCCCCACACTGTCCGTCCCCCTATATCCCATGCCTCTTGACCTGGCCCCATGGGCAGGGCACTGCGAAGAATGCAGCCTCTTCGCTTCCTTAGCAGGAGCTGAGGCTGTTCCTGCCCAGAAGTGGCATGGCCACAGTGACCCCTGGTGCGCAAAAGGCATAACTGCAGAACTTGTATTTTCTGCTGAGAAAAAACATTCTGCGTGGCACATGAATTCTGCGTGTGCACAGTGGTGCAGAATTCCCCCCCTCTCCCCCTTCCGGAGTAATGTGGTTATGTTCCACTAACAGCACTGTTCTTACTGCAGGCGGGAAGGGTGGGGAGGAAAAGTAGGCACCGAAGGGTGGAAATTTGAGTAGTCTTTAGCTTCTAGTTGCATTTTGAAAACTGTCTTGGCTGTGTGCTCACCATGTGGCTAAATCAGCTATCCAGTGTGCAGCTTATCTCCCTAGGAGAGTATTCTGCTAGAGGCTGGAAATGTGTCTGCTTCCTTGCCCATGTAGTCTATGGTACCTATCATAGAGATAGCGGTAAAATTCTTCCAAAGTATTCATTTGTTTTGTCGGGCAAATGGATGTTTTCTTCATGTGTTTTTTGGACGCGCTTAGAACCTGCTTCATTAATCCAGCGCGCTCCAGCTTTTCTGTGATTCTGTTCTTCCTTTCTTGTGCAACTCCGAGCGTCCATGATCCTTGCTATTCTGTGTTATTTTAAAGTAAAATTTAACCCTTTTAAATAGATTACAGGCAGCTGAGGTTTAAGCCACTTGTTTAAAAGAACCTGATTGAAGAGGATTGGCGACGGATGCTTATTGGACACTAGGCAGCGTTTCTGGACATGTAGCCAGCACTTCCTTTCAGCTGTGCTCGGCTCTTATACTTGGCGATTACATTTCATCAGTGATTATACCTGTGACATTTCATAGTTCTTAAACAGTCATCGGAGTGGGGAAATAAATCTTTTAACCACTTCCACTTTAATTGCTGTGCTGATTATTCGTCTTCAATTTCAGTGACTCAGCAACTGTGGTCGAGAGTCTGATTTTTATTTTTTTGTACAGCCACGTACGGTTTTAGTTTCCCTAAATCATTTCCTCATTCAAGTATGTGTCATTCAGTCTGTCTGTCACTCTAACCCAGAGCGCTGCATAGATTTGCAGAGTTCCCACTGTTATTTTCTCTCCCTACTTCTTGTGTAATAGGTCCTAGTTTTTCTAGGTTTAAAAACCCTTTTTGTAAAATTGAAATACAATAGGAATATTGTATTTTAAATTTAGTTTAAAGCAGGACATAAGTTATTGTTTAAATAAAAAAAAATCCTTAATTTTTTCCCTGTGTACATTTTAAAAACAAAAATCTGTCTCTTAAATTGTATGGGAATAAAACTTGTCCTGAAAAGTTGGATTAGTACGGCACCCAGCTTATTTTTCTGGTACTTGTATTTTCACATGTAAAATGATCTCTATATATGTTGAATTAACAAATATTTTGAGTTCAAGAAGAAGAAAAAAAAAACATATTAATGGTATTAAAATGTGTTAGTAGTTCCAGCTAAGTATGTGCCCGAAACAAGTTTTTTGCAGGAAAAAAAAAGTGAAGATCTGTATGTAAAGAACAGTATAACGGTTATTTCTTTGTATTTTTAGGGGCCTAACAGCTACATCCTTTAGTTATTGGTGATAGAATATATTTCCTTTTACGCTTCTTTTAAGGACATTTTTAACAATTTGTGGTATTTTCCAGGGCCAATCCAATTAGTGCATGATAATGTTTCAAGCTCGGGGCCGAGGAGCCCGTTTTCTGCTGAGTTTAAAAAAAAACAAAAAAATCATGTATTTGCTACAGAGTATTGTAATTGTCTCAATGGGAATGGTGTAAAAACTTAAAGGCCTTACGTGATATGTATCATAGTTAATAAATCAATCTTGTAAAAAACAAAAGAGAGAGCTCCCTCCAAAACCAACCCATGCGGCTGTTTCTTCTGGTGGCTTCCCCTCTTTGTCTTGTTTCTCTGTCTGCTCTGGAGGTTGGCAGTGTCACCGCAGGCTGTCCAACAGCCCACCAAGGCAGGCTACGCTGGGCAGGCATAGGGACAGTTAAAAGCCTATCAGAAACAAATCTCCACCAAAGGGGGAGCGGGGGGAGTGAGAGAAGAGTGGTTATTGGGTCAGTACTGTTGAGTATCACAGTACTGGCGTGCTATGGTGGGGGGAAAGGCCACACTGTCCGGGGCTGGGGTGTCAAACTCCTGAGCTGTTTGCTGTATTTATCAGCCCCTCTGGACTACAGAATCTCACACTGGACTGTAAGCTTTTTCTTCAGAAACAGATGTAGCCGTTGTGTACATGGTGAAGATAACAGTCCAACTCTGAAGTGAAGGAGTTCTGGTCAAACCAGTCTGAGCACAGCTCTGAGATGTGAGAACTGGTCCATTCACCTGTGGGGAGTGTTGACTGCGGAGACTAATGACTCTGCGTGGGCCTGGTTTTCAAAATGATTCAGGCCCAATTTGCACATGCCACTGCTGTACACAGATGGCTAAATAACCAAAGGGCAGAAATAAATGGTCCTAAACGTTCCCCACATCATTGGTTTTTGCTGCTGACTGGATCAGTAACTTTACTAACTACAGCTTGGTGTAATTTTCAAAAACTCCTAAGTCCTATTTCAAGCAATTTAAGGCTTAGGCTCCTAAATCATGTAAACCATTTAGAAAATTTTCCCTGTAGTTCCTACATATAAAGGCGGCTGTATTCTTCCCTTGATCCTAGTGCAAACCTTCCAGTGTCACTAAAAGGAAGCTCTGCTGGGGATCTGGGTTGGTAAATGACTGATTAAAATATTAAACATCTTTACCTTTTTATTCCCCTCCCTCCTTCCACCAATGGTTTAACCCTTACATTGCTGCAGGTGCCTGGGTATCAGTCTGCAGCAGTTAATTATCTTCATGTTCCGAAAAGAGCCGCCTTATGCCTGCCTCTGCTCTCTGCCACTGGCTCCTTCCTTGTAAGGGAGAAAAGCACTCCAGTTCCTAATCCAATGCTGCATCCAGTACTGGGAGCCGGTTAAGCTGGGGGCGCTTGCTAAGAAACATCTTCCACCCCATGGAACGGCGGGGATGGGTTGGGGGTGCTGGCAGGCTTTTCGGGAGCGAGAGGTGTATTTAGCATGATCTCATCTGAGGGGTCAGTGCCTCTAGCTGCATGTATTCCCCTTCCTTAGAACACTTATTGCCGCCCGATCCTGCATGTAGGGGAAGGGGGCGGCTCTGTGTTGTAAAGGCTAACCCCTGCAAAGTGAAAGGTAGTTTCTCCCAGGAAGAAGAAAATGGAGGAAACTGGCAGTGGGAGGCTTGTCTATCTTAATACACAAACTTTGTCATGAAGCAGTTACACCGCATACTTGCTTCACAAGCAAGGGCATGAAAAGTTATGCCACTAACAGTCCATAATCCCTACTCACTGAGAGGCGTACGCCTTACCCATAACACCACAAGGCAACCTTAGCTGTCCCCCTTTAACTTTCCCTTCTCCACAAATCCTTTTATCCAACTACTCACTACCAGTACTGCTGCTTTCAGGGGAGTTGAGTCAGGTATGTTGTGTGTAGCACAGCTAAGTATTTTTGTATATTAATTTCCTAGGCGCTTTTTAAGGATCAAGCTGGTTTTTGGCATTGCACAAGGGCTGGACAGAAACCCGGGGTGTGGTAGGTGTAAAAGTAACTGCTAATGGAGAAGTCTTTATCCACCATTAACTACTGCTGCACATGCGCTCATGTGTTAGGAGCTGTACATAAAGAGTATATCCATCAGCAACCTGTTGGGGCTTAAACTTTTGGATGAAAAACTCATATTAGCAGAAATATATTTTGTCTTCAAAAAGAAGAACAGGAGTACTTGTGGCACCTGAATTTTGTCTTCAGTTATTGCACTAGATCTATTTGGGATACATGTCTCTACCTAATTTTAGTAAAAACACTTAAAAAAAAAAGTGACCCATGCATGGGTTAGACTGCCGACAAAATAAAAAATTGTCAGACAAATTTCAAACCTTTCCTATTGGGGTGGGGTGAGAAACAAAGCTACATGGAAAATTCAAAGAATTAAGAAACTTCATAATTAGGGCTGTGGTCTAAAATGCAGCAGAAATCTCCTCTTTCCTCTAAAAGTAGGTAACCTGTCAGTATAAAATGTCATGGAGTTATTAACTGCTTCTATAATAAAGCACTGGGAAAGCTTGGATGAAGGGAGGTCATTGAAGCATAAAACTTTATTTTGAGAGGGACACATCCCCCAACCTTGTCTTAGAAGCGGGCACAGGCTAATCATTACCATAGTACCTAGGAGCTCTAGTCATGGACTCAGACCCCATTGTACGAGGTGCTGTCAAATCTCTTGGCCCCTGGCACTTTTCAAGGCACAGCACCCCTGGGAGGTGGTGCCACGGCTGTTATCCCTGTTGGACGGGGTGAGGAATTGAGAGATTGAAGTCTCTCAACCAAGGTGCCTCAGGGAATCTGGCAGACACGGGTGTTGAACCCACATCTCCATGGGCATGGACTCTCACATCTTTACAGTGCTGGGGCTACGGGTGGGACAGAACTGCCAATGAAGCAACTACCTGACAATGCTCCTTGTTCTATCGCCATCGCTTCACCCAAGGGGTCTGGGTCCATTATGGGTTTTGGTCACTTTTCCTCTGAAACATCAGGATGTGGCCAGAGCAGCAGGAGAAAGGAGGTATGATCCGGCATGGGCCACCCTCAGCAGCCCACCTGGAATGTGTGAGGGCAGGATCTTGCAGCTGTTTCTTCGTAAGGGAACAGAACGTGAGCATGATAAGGTGGGTGAGGTAATATCTTCTACTGGACCAACTTCTGTTGGTGGAAGGTACAAGCGTTCCAGCTATGCAGAACTCCTCTTCCCGCCTGGGGAAGGAAATCCGTTTCTAAGCCTATATGGGCGGGGGGGGTCTGTGTGTATCCTTGCTGCCTTCTGCTACGTGGAATCCTACCTGCAGCCAACGCGATATTAACTACAGCTGGCTGAAAATTGGCCAATGGAACGTTTTTCTGTCGGAAAAATGACTTGTGGAAACTGAAATGTTTCACGGGAATGTGTCGACGCTGAGGATGTTTTTGGGTTTTTAGGGAAGGAGGGGAGACCCGGAAACATTTTGACAGTATCAGAAGGCTGCAATGAACAAAGAGTCTCTACAGCATCCCAAATCCTGAAACTGGTCTCGGCTGTGCTCAGTTATTGAGCGTAAGCACCTAGGCCAAGCCACTTAGTGAGGCAGTATTGGAGGAGAAGCTACAATGCTGGATCCAGTCGAAACTGCATGGGGAAGGTAAGGAGAATGGAATCGCCTGCATTGGAATTGACCACGCTGTCCTCAGAGGGAAAGTGACCTTGGGTGTTCAGTGGGCATCCGGAGCCCTGGGTTAGTTCTTCCAGTGCACTCCTAGCCCCGTTGTCACAATCCCTGAAGACGGACTGACTGAGAAGACAGGGGGCCATCTACTGAACCACCAGCACTAGCTCCTGCAGCTGCGCTTTCCCCTAGGGATGTCCTAGACTCAAGTCTAACACTTCTTTCATTTGAGCTCTGAAAGGATCGCAATGCAGAGCAACCTTAGCTGAAAGCCACAGATGTTTGCTTTAAATGGAGTAAACTAACACTTTCTTTTTTTTTGTAGTGATAGTCCCTATGGATAGCCACTGTGTGTGTGTGTGTGCGCGCGTTTGTGTGCTCCATCTGCCTGAGACCAGGCGATTTTTCAATAACATTGTCTGGTCTCACAACACCTTGTGCTCTGAACCCTGGGCATGAGGGGCAGTGTGGACTGAGTGCCTCTCCAGTTCCTTCCCTCATGGTCTGAGACGGAACCCCTCTGTGTCTGCAGCTTTTACTAGAGTTCCTGCTCAAAACACACTTTGTTATTCGAAATAGATTTTTTTTCTTAGCTAGTGTTAGATAATTTTTGGGTGTCCCCCTATTAGTCCCACCATCTGGGACACCTGGTAGGCCCAAAATACCAGGCCGTTGGGTCTTTCCCAGGCAGTGATCCACACCAGAGCTGTTTGTGCTGCCTCAGGGTATTGCACATTCCATCTATGTGCAAGATCTGTCGTTCTGTTTCT